AGGGAGGCCGGGACGGGGGGAAGAGGCCGCTGCGGGTTTGGGAAGGCCCGAGCCAGGGCCCGGCCGCTGCCAGGGCCCGCCAGGCCGCGCCACAGGCCCGCCTGCTGCTTTACATCATCCAGCGCGTCCCGGCAGCAAAGCCTCCCTCCCTCCCTCCTTAGGCCGTGTAATTCCCGGTCAGAGCCAAGGGCACAGGGCTGCGCGTCCAGCAGCACCGGGGGCCGCGTGTGGCTCCGTGGCAGGTGAGCTAAGGACGATGGTGATTCGCACTTCCACAGGTGACAGCCAAACGGGACACTCCTGTGCCTTCAGAGATACACCTGTGGCCAGAAATCCACACGGGGAGGGGGAGAAGGATTCATCATAATTTGAGACACTACGGGTGGTTTACAAAGTCAGTAGTGTGATTGTTTATCTCAAGCATTTTTCAGTGAGGACAAAGTTTATAGTTGAAGGTTACATACATGACCACACAAGCACAAGCGTGCCCTCTGCTGCTGGCAACTGTTAGAAATGACATGTAGTGTGATTTTGCATCCTAGTGTTAGAAACATACTGTCGGGTTTGGGTTTTATATATATATCCTAGTATTAGAAATATATAGTTTGAGATATTAGCACATTCCAAGGACACCAGGAGTGGTTTATGGCCCAAGAAACTGAGGGACTTAATTGGGCTCCATCTGGGGATCCAAACATGGAGCAGGATTTATGGCCAAGATCAGACAGAACAAAGCCACTTCTGTCTTACTGCTCAGGGCAGGATGACACCAGGAGGTTTGTTAATTGGGAAGACAGCCAAGGGGGCAAGAAAGGTCAACATTTTGCCTTAAAAGGTAAAAAGTAACCTGCTAGAATGGAATGTGTAAACAGGGGCGGGAAACTTATAGGACAATTTGAAGCGTTGGATGGGCTGTGAACCCTGGAGTGCCCAGCCAGTGGGGAAACGGGAGGGAACTTTGCGTGGGGAATAGGGAATATAAACAGTTATTCACCTGACTATGGGTGTGCCTGCTTGTTTAGGTCACCCATTCTTTCAAGAGTGTAAATAAACTGTGCTTTGCCACAGGATCTGTGTGGGCCTGTTCATTGGCG